CAAATTAAAAAACAATTAACGATACATAGCAGGTAGAAAGGTATATAAATTTCAAGTAATTTGTTAATAGGTCAATTAAGTCAAACGTTTGCTCATTATAACTGTATATAATTAATTAATTAATTAATAATTAATTAATTAATTTCCGCGGCCGGTCCAGTCAATTTGACAAAATTAAAATCTTCATAATTTTATGCGCATTTTCATGGTTCAGACTTAAAATAATGATGACTAAAAGAATACAATAATTATGGGAAATTTGTATGTTTATATGTCGGTCCTGGCAGCTTGGGTAGCTGTGATAATTATACAATACAATAGAGTATATACAAGAGAATATTCAGATTTACAGCTGTTATTAAAATAACTTTTATACTAAGACACTAAAATTCTGGATACATATATTTCCCATATACCGGTAATATGTACTCACATTGGCAACCTTTTCATCATTTAATCGGTATTTCCTAAGAACTTCCAAAGTCAAAAAATATACAGGTTGAGGTATTTGAAATAAAAAAGTTAATTAGATTAAAAAAAAACTGTTGATCTGGCAATAATGTAAATACCACCATAATATCGGCCGAATCACAAGACTCTTACATAGCAAAATCTATAAAAGTCGCGTAAATCAAGAGAATTTAATGTTTCCATACTTAACGAGGCGTACTCACTTACTGACTGGAACTACAACAAAATCCGTATTTTTATTAAAACGAAATGCTAAAAAACTATATATCTAGTAAAAATTATTAATGATTATTTTAAAAGTAAATAATTTTATAGGTATGCTTCCAAGTTAAATGGACCACACTGTATATATGATCTTCTATGAAAAGTTTCCTAAAATCTTTTTTTTATTAATATAAAACTTTTTTTAGGTTATTTATCATACACAATTGAACAAAATAATACTTTACCTAGGACATACGCCTACAAAAGAAATCCTAAACGAGAATATTGATGTGCCTATTGATTTACTTAAATCCTTAAATGTATACACATATAAAGCCAAAATTTATTTGAATATACTTATCTATCTATATACTATTATCTTTTTGTACTTTTTTAATGTACTCAGGCTGTATTCTGCATTCTATATAACGTCTCAAACAAAATTCTATTGAAAGATCACTGAATTCATGCATTTTATAATCATTAACATTTGAACAGGTACTCGTCAGATAATAAATGATAGATGAACATGCAGATGGAACTTGGTATAAAAATACGAAACCAATGATTTTATCTCTAAGAAAATCAAAATTTCTGCATTTCTCTTTGTTGTGAATGCTTATTGATTTATAAAATAATATCTAGGATCAAAATTTACTCCAAAAAAGTGAATTCGTACGGAGCGTGAGGCAGACAGTCAATAAAAATAAATCTATATTAAAATCAATCAATTAAATCAAAATGCCTGTGTATTTGGGTTACTAACCGGGAACATATCCCTACTCGAAATAAAATATTTCTACATCAGAACGAAATCATTTAGAACGCGAGTTTGCCAAGTAACTTGATATGGTTAAAGTAATAATTGAACTTGAATCAAATACAAGGCAGATTTTAAGCACAGTTTTTTATTAAATCTTGCCCAAGTACTTTCGCTCTTAGAGAATCTTCAGGAGCATTCGAAATAAGCCAAGAAAAGTTTTTTTTATCTGAAGGAAAATTAATTAACTTTGAAAAAACTCGAAGTTGATGGTTGATACATTTTTTTTTTAATATAAGGTTTTAGGCTTAATTTGTCAAAATTATAGGCTACCCAACAATTTGGTGAATTTCTTAATTACTAAATAATATATTTACACAACACGAGACAATGGACAAACAGTTAAAAAAAAAATTAAATTTGAAGGAGCTACATAGTGGGTGACAACAGGTCTTGCCGGAAATATTAAAGTGACATCTGACATATGACAACTTGGATGGGCAGTCATAATCATGGTGATGTGATTTGCACATTTCAAAATTCTGGGGTAAACTGAACATTGACCAAATTGTTACTACTATATAGATTACTTTAAGTAGATGTAGATTGCATAATCCAGATCTTATACTCAAACATATCAGTAATATTTTGGGTGTTAGTTTGGGGGCAACTGAAGTGGAAATAAAGTGTGATTGTAAGAACTGGAATAAACAATCTTAGATAGTGAGTGGTTGACTACAAAAAAGGTCTAACAAGCACTACCAATACTGTAGAAAAGAAGAAATCGAATTATGAACTTTAAATCTTAGAATTAAACATTAAAATTGAAAACAAAGTGTACAAATGGGGTATAATACCAATAGTTCAATTAAAACCATAGTCAATGGGAGAACCGTAAAATTAAAATGTCACTATTATTCAAGATCAACTGACCAACGGTGGGAGATGTTGAAATATGCAACTGTGGAGATGGTATATTTAAATTACGAAGAGATATGGAGAGTGTAATAAACGCCAACTATAGATCAATTAATCATGAATATGTAACAAAAAAACACTGAAAACTTTGTTTTCAAACTTCCACAAAATCTTTTTTAAATCTTATCACTACAGCTGTTTCGGCTGATTGCCTTTCTCGCTTTGCAAGTTATTGATGAATGAAATATTAATAATAATTAAAATATGAAGTTAATAAACTCGTAATGGGTATACTAAGTGCAGGAAGTCCAAATAGTCGAGCTGGATTTCCTACGAGGTGAAGCTGCAACAAAATTTTTGAAAATAGCTTTAAATTTAGTACAATTTTAATTAATTTGAGTATTAAGACAGTCAGAGTTTTCATTTGTTTCCCTTGTAATTTCCAAATCTTTCAATAAATCCAACTCTAAGTAGTTTCTCTTTCTACTAATATCATGTAAAATAGATGAACTAGTATTGATATTCAAATTATGTTTACTGGATAATAAATGGTGACCAAAACTTGAAGAGTCTGGTTTTTTCAAATGTTCTGTTATTTTAGTAGATATCTTTCGAGTGGTTTTACCTACATAAGAGGGATCACATTCATCACATTTTAATTTATAAATACCACGTTTGTCAAGAGTGTTCATCCTATCTTTAGTATTGAATAAAAAGGAAAAGTGTTGTGTGACTTGAAGGAAATTTTGATGTTTTCAATTATAGAAATCAAAAGTTTTAATATTTTTTTAGAAATGTTGCTGATATAAGTAAAATAGAAATATCTGATGTTATTGGCGGCATTGGGGACAAGCAAGCATTGTGATGAATAAGCAAGCTTTTGTGCAATTTTAAGTTTGGCTCTACTTTCTATAGTAGTGTTAGTTGGACCTTTGGGCAATGTTCAATTTACCATGGAATTTTAAAATTTTCGGATCACATCACCATGATTGTAACTGCCTATCCAAGTAGTCATATCTCAGATGCCACTTTAACATTTCCGTTAAGACCAGGAGCCATTCTCTCTCTTGCTGTCACCTACTATGTAGCTTCTTTAAATAAAAAAAAAATTGAAACTGTTTGTCCTTTGTCTAGCTAGTGTTGTGTAAATGTATTATTTAATGTTTATGACATTCATCACATTGTTTGATAGCCTATAATTTTGACGAAGTAAGTCTAAAACGTTATATTAAAAACATTTTTTTGCCAATCATCAAGTTTGAGTTTCTTTTGAAGCTAATTTTGCTTCAGTTGAAAATACTTTTCTTGGCTTATTTCAGATCGCTCTGACGATGCTCTAGAGGCAAAAGTACTTGGGCAAGATTTAATAAACAAACCGTGCTTAAAATCTTCCTTTTATTTGATTAAAGTTCATTTATTAGAGCATTAAATTATACTTAAAAGTGATAGTTGACTGTTTTAGTGACAATGACATTCGGGACATGATTAATAGCTCTTTTTTAGAAAGTAAATCAGGTCAAGAACACAAATGTTAATATCTGTATTAAAATTTTTAATAAAAGAGTTTATTAAATTAAGACAGTGGTTGTTATTATTTTAATTTTTACTTATTTGTTTTTTATTTTATGAATTGACTATAAAATTAAATTGATCAGTCATATTTAAAGGTGGGATTAGAAAAAGAGAGAAATGGCAGAGTGAAAGTGAAAGTAAGTAAATTAAGAATGAGATAAACGGTTGAATAATTAACTGTGGAAGACAAGATATTTATCTTATAGACCACTGAATGGCATTTTAATGTATGTAGTAAAAGTTAAAGTTGTTATTGAAAACAAAGTAATCCTAATACAGACAAAAATAAATATAATAATATTTTATTTTATTTATTTTATTTCAAGTATGGGCTTGTGTTTACGGTTAGAAATCCAATTACATCGGCATTTTGCCATATAATTAAATACTTTTAAGTATGTTTTTTTTTCAATATAGATTCAACCACTGTTTCGTTTTGCGGTTAGTTACGCAAGTACTCTAAAAGTTCACTGAAGATAGATTGATTAGTCTGAAAACATTTTGAACTTTATTATAATCCATTTGGATTTTTTAATTTAATTTTTTAAATAAATATATCACTTGTAACACAAGTTTTTACTTAGAAAATTGAGTTTTTTAACTAATATGATATATGGCTAACTCCCGGTAATTATTATAGTTTAAGCTTAAAAATGTAAAGATGAAAAGATCATATGCATTAAACATGGCAGATGTCATATCTAACAGGATGCTGTTACTTTTATGAACTAATTAATAAAGCTTCATGCACAGTATAAGCAAAAAATAATTTGTCGAAAAAAGATTTATTTTAATTAATTTTTTAAATATCTCTATTCTATTAATTTTGTATATATATGCTGAGATAATCTATCATGCACTAAAACGATTGCACATGTTCAAAATAAAACTTTTGTATCTGCCTAGTCCTTCACCTTATTAGTTAGTATTTTTCATTCATGCACTAATTGCCTTATATTATAAAATTTGCTAGATTTTCTCTACTCTAAACCTCTACCGAACTTAGAAACGAATAAATATATTTACTAGTAACATTTTCTAATTTGTTTGTTATATTTTTTGAAAAACATCTTACTCGCTAGCCTGGGTGAACGACATGCCAGTGAAAGAGGTGGACAACGTTTCTGTATACATCTCGCATCCCGTTCCTTGGAGATAATCGTTTTGCCAAACTTGCGTATCGGGAGACTGAAAACGATAATATACTACTGCATAGAAACATTTTCACATTTTTATAGCTCAAGAGTCTTTTGTTAATTTAAGACACAAGCTTATTAATAAGATAAAAATCAGTTTTATATATTTTGCTGAGTGTGTAGATTTGGATAAAAAGTAATGGATTTTAACATATGAGAATAATAATATAATCTAATCACTTTCTTTAACGCTACATTTACTCTTATTAAATAAGGAGGCGAGGTAAAGCGAGTGTTAGTAGCAGTTAATTCGCTGTATTTCGCCTTACCTCGTTAAATCACCATTTGCTCTCTATATTTGGTACGTTCGGTTTGAAGTTACAAACCAGAATATCCAAATCTATGAGTAATTCGTTTTTCAGAACAAAAATATGGGTTTCATACTCATCTTGCAAAGATACTGCAGTAACGAAATAATTCCTAACTATTATTGGTAAATATTTTTGGAATACTATATGCTACGAAAAAAAAAACAAGAAATCCAGTGTAGTTCCGGTCTTCATGAAATAAAGATAACCCTATAAAAGAGTTGAATGTATATGTTAAGTGCAAAATTTTCCTGTTACAGTTTTACAAATTACATTTATCAATAAATCAATTTAAAGAGATTAGGAATTGACCTGGCAAGCAATATTGATACATGCGTAAATAAATATAATGTAAAAGGCCAATTTTAAATGTCAAAAAATTATAGTGAGTGAGGCAGTTATTCTTGATGAAAGTCACAAATGTGTCATTGGGTGTACCCTCGTTACGAAGATGCAATCAAGAAACGCATAAGAAGGCAGCGCATCTTTCGATTGGGATCAACACCTTCATACCCGTCAGGACCTAGTTGGTTGAGTAGCCTTTTTTACCCTTCTGCGTTTTATTGTTCACCTATGTGAAAAAATTTATCGAACTAAAAAGAATTCACTTCGTTCGTTCGGTTGCACAGCTCTTAAATAATTACGAAGCCTCATGGCTACGACATTATTCCAACCATGGAAGGTGTAGGAACCGGCCCTTGGTGACTGTTCAAATATTTTTTGTCAAGGTGAAGAAAAGTCTGGCAACAGACTTGCAAGTACCCCGCAAAAGCCATCAAGCAGCTCGCAAGAGAACGGTCAGAGGGATATCGATCCTTCAAATACTGAAACTATTTCGGATCGTGTCAAACTGCCATAACGTTCCAATATACCACCGACGGTTAGGAGTAAATAAAAGCCCAAGTGGACTTAGAATTACTCCTCAATCGGTGGCCGAGCTAATGCAGTACTTCGTCGCCAAACCATTAGTTGGAAATAAGTAAAGGTCCTTACGTGCCTTGGAATTATTTCACGAGAGATGACGGTACAGAGTGAGCCCTTCGATATCAATTACTTCTCAATCCAGAGCCATTCGAAGTGTCAACACTCCGAAGGAGGTCCTATATCTCGCAATTACTCCGCAGTTCAGAGCCAGTCAAAGAGTCAAACACTCTTTCGGCGATCTTATACCACGAGGAATGTGAACTTGAGTGCACGCTGAGGATTGAGGGGCTAGCTCTGTGTGAGGTTCGAAGCTTCTACCGTGCATATAATACCAACCAATATTTCCTGTAAGGTATTTTATTGCATACCGCACTTGTTGAATTGATGGAGGCTCCAATATATATATATATATATATATATATATATATATATATATATATATATATATATATATATATGTATATATATATATATATATGTATATATATATATATAATTTATATATATATATATATTATATATATATATATATATATATAATTTATTGTGTTCGATTGGAATATCGGCTATGCGGTCTGTTATTTAAAAAAAAAACTCTATTTTCTTTTAATCCTCTATATTTCGCTAATTTTTTGTCAGCTTCATCAGGAGACAACTAAAATATGATTAAAAGTTATATAAAAATCAGTTTAGAATAAACAATGACTCACTTACAGATTTAGAGTGGAAAGTATTTAAATAAGTTATTGAACATAATTTGTTCAAAACAGTACTGAGAGTATTGGTTAAAAGCACCTAGGTCACTAGTAATTAAATATAAAAACAGAGCAAACAAAAACAACCAAGAAACAATTAAAACACAATAAAATTACCCATTAAAAATATACAGGGTGATTTAAAATATAATTGTTAACAGAAAAATTATTTGGACATACTAAGAATATTACAGTAGTTATTGCTCAACTGTCCCGTGTCTACTGTCTACCTTGTAAATTACTGCATAGTTTTCTCTATTTATATGACACATTTCCAAAAACAATCTATTCATCTATGAAGAAACTAGAGGCATTTAAAATGTGATGCTACATTTTCATTCTACAATTGTTTTATAATAATCATATCATAAACGTGAAAGTTCTTAGAGCAATGGTAAAAATGTGCAAGATTTTTGAGAAATGAGAATTCCTGAGACACTTCTCACTCCTGAATGAGAAACGATGAGTGATAAGGATTGCATAAGATTAATGAAGGTTATGGCAAACGCAGACCAGGAAAAAATGAATTTCATGGCAATAAAATCTGCAAACTTGGTTGAAATAAAATTTTTTTCAGTATTTAGTCGGTATTTAGGATGACCACAGTAGAATATTGCTGACGATCTAGTTAATACTTTGTATTACCAACAATATAATTTATATAACCAACTTGCCCTGGTAGTAGTTAATACTATTATTATATAATATACATATATAAGATATCTACTGTCTGAAAGATATTTTTTATATATTCATATGTTAAAATCCAATACGGTATTTGTGTAAATAGTGTATGGGTGTATTAGAAATGTGCTAGGAATTTATAACTTCCGTAAATTGGTAAAGCATTACCCCCCATAATTTTGATAAAAATACGTTTCGTTTTTTTAAAGAAATATTTTACATTTTTTTATGTTTAAATAATAATTCGATCTTTTTTAAAATATCTTTTGGGGACAACTATAAATTGCTTTTTTTTGTTTCAATAAATATTATTTCGACAGTTTAAATCATGAAGATTACGTGTAATGCAATTTAGAGTTATAAACAAGACTAATCAAATGACTTTATGTGCTAACATTTATTGCTTATAATCTGTTGAGCCATAATAGTCTGCTCCAGAAATATACTACTAAAATAATAACACTTTCAAATATTATACTAGCAAATATATGTAATAAACAGACAAAGTTGTTTGTAAATTTTGTTTAGCAGAAAATGGTTGACTTCAATTAGTGCGGTCGTAAATGTTATCAAATTTATCTCACTTGGGCCACTGTTAAGACCTTGTACCTTAGGTAAACCATTGTTACCTGAAACCGGGCCTTTTATACTATTATGGGTTAACCCAAGATGTTTATAGTCGATACTAATTAAGGTCAACCATTTATTGCTAAACAAACTTTACATTAGATGAATATATGTTAGATTTAAACTTAAAGCGTGAATCATAAGCTTTTCATTTTATAAAATTGAAAGCGTGAATCATAAGCTTTTTATTTTACAATGTGTAGCACCCTAAAAGATACTTTAAAATCTTTATTTTTTCAAATAAAAATCTAAATAACTCAAATTAAAACAAATCTCACAAAAAAAGAACAAAACGTTTGCCTTTCTGTGAAGTTAACTATATGACGTCAGATATTTTAACTAAAATATCCATAACAAAAAAGAAGTCGTTAGTCATTACTTTATTAAAAACATAACATGATTTTACAATAAGTGTACATTATGTTATAGACAAGGCGTAAAGCTCGGGCTCGTTTTAGTCTAGGCGGGATCTGTTTTGGATTGGAAATTTTAGAGGGAAGCTATTTTTTTGCTGGAATCCCTTCAGGATATGCCCAGTATCGATAATCACGATATGCGCCAGTCGCAAACCCTGTGCTAAATTTTTTATTTAACAAAATCTGAAAACAATTGAAAATTTCTCATTTTTTTGCTCCTATTTTCATTTATAATTCGAAAAATATTGATCGTAGAGAAAAAATTGTAACTGGTTAAAAGTTTCGTTATTAGATTTTACACAATATTTTGTTAGCTAAAAACTGAAAATTTAATGGTTATTGTTGAAAAAATAGCAATAATTGGAAAAAAAAGTACAAAAAAATGAAGTTAATCCTTTAAATGTTTTCGACTTTCTAAACTTGACTTACAAGTTCCATATTCCGCCTAGAAAAACTTTTTAATATGTTTAAAACGTGTGCTAAATTTTGTTAAGATCGGTCGGATAGGTTTTGCATAATAATTTTGCAATCCAGCCTACTGGAAAAAAATCGCAAATTTTCAAATTCATAGTAGGGCCTAAATAAGGCCCTCAGATAGTTGCAATTTTTTTTACATATAAAGGAAGTCTCACAATTTCAAACGCTCTTTGTAAAATTCAAATCGGTTTACTAGGAAAGCCTATAAATTTTTTTAAAGTTATAAACATTTTTTAGGCTTATAAACAAATTAAATAACTTTACGAGCTTTAAACATATCAATTTCAAAATGTACATACTTAAAGAACATTAAAAGACGCTTCTTTTAAGAAATAAAAAGATACATTTGGCTTACTGGTTGCCGAGATATTGAAGGTCAAAGTTGGTATACATTTGCCGTGTAACCACAAGTGATAGAGGGCTCGTTTTTAAACAAATACCCTCGTCTTGCCAAATACTTTTTATATGAAAAGTTTTACGTAATGCGCTTCATAGCAACATCCATAAAAAAGACAAAGAAAAAACCGTTTTCGCGTAAAATGTCGCTCGGAATGCATCAGAGGTGGTAGTGAGGGACATTCACTTCAAATGTGAATCGGCGAGTATCAAGTAGGGGACCATCAGTTTGTTTAATTTCGGGTTTTGAAATATAAACAAAAGTAAAGTGCTCCAAAATCTGTAAGGGCTTGTAAAGTAAATTGTTACTTTTAGTAAACAAATATGTATTTATAAATTGTTAATAAATAATTTCAATTGTTAAAACGAAGGAAATTTTTTTTTTGTAAAAATCAAACATTTTA